TTTTTTTTAGCGCAGCGAAAACAGAGACCCAAAAGCTCGTGCCTGGCCCTTTTTTTCCCAGATGCCACCTTTCCAGCAACGGAATGTCGTCCCAAATGGCGCGGGCGCTGGGAAATGGCAGGGCGGATCCCCACACCTCCCTCCCCTTGCTCCCGGGCCCCGGCCTGTGGGTCCGGTGCGGGGACGGGTCGGCTGATTGGCTGTTTCTAGTGGGAAAATCATCTCAAGGGTTCTTGCTGGCGCCGCTCGCTTGCCAAAAACAGAGAGAGAGAAGGTTCGTGTTTCGATGGATCGATAATCCACCACCAAAAAAAGAACAGCTACACAAAAAAAAGAAGCCACAGAAGAACCCCCCCACGAGCGCCACATTTTGGAAACCTACCTATCCTTGGGAACAGGGTAATGAAGCAAAAGGAGAAGCTCGTATAAGCCGTGGAAAGATAGAAAAACACAGGGGCCAGACCAGACTATAGCCAGCGCACACAGCACATCATGATTCCAAGGACACCACCACCCCTGGCCGCCGCCCGCCTGAGCATCCGCCGTCCCGCACGTGCTCTCCCAGGCCTCCTCCATCTCCTCCCCAGGACAGCCCGGCAGCAGCAACAGCGCCGACACGGAAGCAGCTCACCGCAGCCCTCGCACACCGTGAGTAGTCCTGCCCCCACGGCCACCTATACCTATACACAATAATAAACACTAACACCAGCCCACCCAGTCCAATTTCTACAAGACCTTTGGCCGGCCCGTCTTCAAGGTCTCCCTCTCGGCCATCTTCGTCTACCAGCTCGTCTACTGGGCCTGGGTGAAGCTGGAGCAGGACGAGATCATGGGAGAACGTCGAGGTAAAGCGCGCGCCGATATAGCCCCCGCCCCATATTCATTCCTTGCTCGTGTTCCTTATTATTTTTTTTTCTTCCTCTTTTCGTGGCAACTAATCGCCAGGGCGTGGCTGCTTCCAGCCGAGATCGCAGACCTAGAGGCCCAAGTCGAGTCGCTGCAGACCAGTCAAGGCACCGCCAAGCAAGCTAAATGAAATCACAAAGCTATCCCTGGGTTGTGTTGTGGCTGTATATTGTCAGAACTCTGTGTAAAGTAGTCGTGGGAGAAGGTGTTGTGAGCAATAACGTTGATGTATTGATATAGCCATGTGAGTACCCAATTCCCCAGTATCAGGTACTCTCCTTGGATTGGGCAATAATGTCGTCAAGTCTCGAGTCAAGTCTACGCTGATGGATATCAAAAAGCTAGTATCTACAACCCCCCAAAAGGAATAAAAGTGAAAGGACAGACACCTCTCCCAACACCAGGATGTAAAGGTACAAATCACGAAGCAAGACACCAAGCAAGCCAACAAACCCAAGAAAGCCAGTAATACAATGAAATTAGAACAGACGTATTCTACCAACCCCCAACACAGTCATCCACAAGCCTCCACCCGGACCAACGCCTCGCCATGACGACCGTGCGCCGCGCGAGGCCGGCGAGGCCCGAGGGCCGGCATTTGCTCTACATCAACGCCAGCCCCAGGCCGGCCGCGGCCCCGTACAGCAGCACCTGCGCCAGCGGGCCGGCCGCGGCCGCCACGGGCGACGAGTTGGGCCAGTTGGCGTGCCTGGCCCAGGCCCGCACAAAGTGGCTGTCCTCGGGGAAATTGCACTTGAACCCCCCGCCGGGTGCCGTCTCGTTGTGGTGATAGCTGGAGTTGTAATTGTGGCGCGAGTTGTCGGTCGGGCAGCCAAACCCGAGCTTTGGATGGCAGCTCTGCACTAGGTCGAAGCAGAGGTCCGAGCACGGCAGGAGCTCCTTGTAAGGGCCCGGCTGGATCACCGTGTCAATGAAGGCGTTGCGCGACCCCGCGTATGCCTTCATCTGCCGCTGCTCCAACGTGACCGTGCCGTCCAGGTCACCGTTTGTCAGGTTGCGGCCGTCGGGCAGCGAGCTGTTGACATTGCGCGGGTGCAGCCACTTCTTGGTGGACGAAAAGTCCTCGCAGCGCGGGATCGAGACGGCGCAGAGCCAGTCCCTGTAGGCCCCGTCGCAGTCCTCGCAGGAGCGGGTCAGCGAGTATTTTGACGTCGGCTCCGTCACGCACTGTATCTGCGCAAGCGCCTTCCGGAAGTTCTCGTAGACTCCCTGTACGTGGTTGTCGTACGCATTGGCGAGCTCTTGAGCATTGAACTTGGCCCTGTTGGCTGGGACCGAATACGTGACCTTGTTGCAAAACGTGAGACCGCTGATGAGCATGCAGCTGCTTGCTTGATCTGTAGTTCCAACAAAGTAAGCGTGGGGCTCGGCACAACCATGATGGACGAAATAATCAAAAAAAAAAAAGGGATTGACAAACCTTGTTGCCGGGTGGTGAAATTTGTGGCCCGAAAGACCAGCCCGCCGCCGCCGGGAGAGTTGCTCTGCGGCGCCCTAGCCAAGATGGTGCTGTAGTTTGTGCCCGCCCGGAGGCCGGAAAGGTGGAACTGCTGCTTGGACGCACTCCCCGATCCGCCGCCGTACATGCTGGTGCGCACAAAGCTCGAGTTCGTCCCGTCCTTGATCCCCGCGATCTGCGCGTACGTCTGCAGGCCGCAGAAGGAGTATCGCACGCCACTGATGGACCGGTCGCTCCCCTGGTTTGCAAACACGACGAAGGGCATCTTCTCGCCGCCGCCGGCGGGCTGCGCGCCCAGGTCGCGCGCAATGAGGACCGCGTTGGAGTCGTCGCTGTCCACCCACACCAGGTCGGTCGCCGACGACGGCGACGAGCGCTCGCCCGGGGCCCGGTCTTCGTAGGCATGGTACGACGCATCGACCGAGGCCGCAACCTCGAAGCTGTAGGCGCCGTCGAAGGTGTTCTCCCTGAGTGTCGGGGCTGTCAGCTGCACAAAAATGTCCTCGGACGAGCTGACGTTGACCATGACGGCGCCCTCGTTGAAGACGTGCCACGTGCCCTTGTCGTCCGGGGAGGCGGGCTTCACGCCCTCGGCGCCCGGACTCGTCGACGAGAGGTACATGGTGAGCTGCGGCGGCTCCAGCTGCGTCGCGTCGGCCCGGGGCCGCGGCTGCATGCACGTGTTGGCCGAGATGTAGACGGTCCGGGTCCCCTGCTGGCGCCTCTGGACGGCGTTTGCCTGCTCCTCCCCGGCGGTGGCCGGGTTCACGCCCCTGTTCTCCAGCTCCGAGGGCTCCCCCTGGGTCCCGCCCAGTTGGTCCCTCCGCAGCTCCATGTGTCGCTCCCTCCCTTGTATAGACGCCCTCTCAAAGACAAAAACCTTGTTCGTCCCCGGCAGGATCTCGCCCTTGCCCGGAACATTGTTCTGGAGCGCAGAAATCCCCGGCGGCGGCGCCCTCCCGATTATGCTCCTGTCGAAACCGGGAAACATGGGCTCGTACTCGACCGCCGCGTGCCTGACCCTGAGGGCACCGCTGTCACCGCTGTGCGTCCCGGCGGCGTCGGCGTCCGGTAATGGCGGCTGGGCCGGGAGGATCTCGTGGGCGAGGGCGAAGTTGGGCGAGAAGAGGGTGAAGTAGAGGAGCAGCAGGGCGCACGAGGCGAGCAGCGACGCCGCCAGTCGCGACTGCAGAGGGGTCAGCTGCATCGCGGGAGACGTGCCCGCATCGGCGCGCGCGGGGTAGGCTGGCTTCTGGTGCGGCTAAGCCTAGGTTCTTGGGATTTGGGAGGAATCGATGCCCAGGGCTTGGGCCCGGCGTCGATTCGATTGGACTTCCCCTGCCCCTCCCCTTGGTCTGTCGTGATTTCGCCGGGGTCGGCTCGAGGATTCGCGTATAGGTGGTCGGGGCTGCGGATGCGTGGCACAGAAGGGCGGAAGTCGTCGTCGGAATTCCAAGCGCAACCAATACTCGACAACAAACTATGATTATCTCGCACTAGTGCGTCGGTCTATATCCTTGGTCCTGGGCGACAATTGGCGTTGGTCGACAATCCAAAATGCATAAACGGAAAGGAGAACATGAGGAAGGGGGTCGCTGACGGGCGTCGCGGTTTCACGGCTGACTTGCAGGGCGAGTTGTCTTGGCCCTGACAAGGTTGCATTTCAGAACAGTGGATTCGCTGCAGCGCCAACGTTGGCCGTGGTGTGGGAATGTATCTTTAACGCGCAATCGTGCGGCAGGGAGATGCCGGCCAAGGTACACTGGAGACTTTTGACAGTCGCTCTCCCGTGCTAGCCCCGCCCTCCAGCTTCCAGCTTCCAGCTCGCGCCCCTCAATCCAATCCAGTGCCGCCCCTCGTGCATCGTGAATCGAGCAAATCGCGGGATTTCTAATCCAGCACAAAGCCACCGACTAATCAACGAGTGGCTGGAGCTGACGACACGCCATCCGCTTTTGTATGTCACTGTGCATATGGTCAAGTGTCATTTTCGGGGTTACACACACCGGCCTGGAGCACGAGCTCTTGTTTTTTTGTGTTTTTTTTCTGTGCAAAGGACAGTAGGATGCCAACGCAGTGCAAAAAAGCCCAGAACAGCAATATGAGGTCGTCCTTGTGACATGGGGTGTAACATATAAAGACTGTCCGGAGAATACATCGAGTGCCGTCACGTAGCGCCTAACACAGCAGGAACAACCCCATAAATAACCAGATACTTCTATTGAAGCCCACCAGGAAACCCGCCGTCCCCTATAAACCATGTCCCCTACAGCTGTAAATCCAACCTGTAACCAGCCATACCATCCTATCCCCATATCCGTGCCGTCCCCGTTCCGTGCTATGCCCCATCATGAACTTTCATACCCAAGATGAATATCCTTGTAACTGTACTGAGCCTGGTACCGGTGGCCCGTCCATCGTCGATCCGGACCGGAATGCCGGGCTAGCCCTGCACTAGGTGTCGTTCATAACTTGCCCCGTTTTTGCCGGTGGTGCGAGCGACCCATTGCGCGCCGCGACGTACAGTAATCATGCTTTTGCGACTTGTCTGAAGCCCCGACATGCCCCGCGGGGAGCTTCGCCCGCGTTCGCCGCCATGAGGGCGTCCGGGTCACCCAAGACCGCGCCAGTCGCTTACTGATCCTTGTTGAGCGCGTCGGCCTTGGCCCGGAGGTTGCTGGACGGCGAGCCGTGCACAAAGTAGCGCGAAAGGGTGGGCTGGAGGAACGAGCGGAACACAATGTCGGCGCCGCGGAAAGCCGGAAGCGACAGCCACAGGAGAAAGACAAACTTGAAGGTGTAGTAGAAGGGGAACCAGTAGACAACGCTAACCAGGCTCTCTATGACACTGCACGCGGGCTAGTTAGCGGATGCTGCTCCGATTCTGAATATTCGGGCATCGCCCGGCCCACCTCGGGACTGATGGCACTTACGTGAAGAGAGAAAAAACGACCCAGTACTAGAAGGGGGTGCCGCAGTAGATAATTAGCATCCGAGACTCTGCAAAGCACCATGGGCAGCCAAGGAAGCCCAGGGGTCTAGATTGCGACTTACAGTGAGCCATTGCGTGTCGTCCTCCTTGTTCGCGGTAAAGAGGGCACCCAGCGAGTAGTAGGCGGGAATTCCAAAGCCGGCAATGTTGGTAAGGAGCTGGCCGCCGAGGTTGAAGGCGATCAGGAAGAAGTAGAGGGCCACGACGCCGACGACGGCGTAGGCCTTGGGGACGCCGAACTGCTTCTCGAGGTTGTTGAGGGCGGGGTACTTGGACAGCTACTCGATCGGGGGCCGGGTTAGCACGGGCCTCGCCATGGCGCCAAACGAACGCATGCTGTCGAGATAAGGCGACGGACAGCCGGCGACGGCTTCAAAAGTTAGGGCAGCTGCGGGCATGACTATCGTACCTCACGGTCGAGCTGCCCGATGTAGTACTGGGCGCGGTCCTGAGGGGACGACATGTTTGTGCGGGTGTGGTGGGAGATCTTCACAATGCGGCGGGGAGGGGGTGACCCGGCAATTACGTGGCTTGATAAGAGCGGGAGAGGAAGCTATTTCTGAGCGAGTAGGAGCAGGAGAAAGGCCGCGGTATTGTTTTCTCTTAGTACTGACGTCTGCGGAAGCCAAGTCGTTCTGCAGCGAGGATGAGGAGCAAAAGGGGCTGGCTCTGCTTTATGATGCGGAAGAGTTGGGCGTTGGGGGGGTGGGAGACTGACTGGCTGGGTGGTTGCGTAGTATTTGCGGATTGCGGTTTAGGTGATTTGTGTGAGGTGGGCGTTCTGTGTCTCGCATTCGGGCCCAAGTTATGGAAGCTCAGGCGCTGAGTTGGTGGGTTGGTTCCTCCTGCCGAGCCGTGCTCTGACGCATGGGGTGAGGTGGCTGGTGCAGACTGGCCAGCACGCAACCCGGCGTGGGAGCGAGCACGGCCTGGTCCGATGTGCGTTTTTTTTTTCTGGCGGCCTGAGGCAAATGGCAACCAACCAGCGATGGCAGCGCTTCGTGGCTTCCAACGCACCCCTCTACCATGTGCTTTGCTCCGCAGACGCGGGCTGTTTCTCATGCTCAAGCATCATATGTGTTGTGCCTCTTGGGCACTGATGTTGGACATGCCCATGCTTGGCCACGGCACAGGTGCAACGCCCTAAATGCCTTCCAGGCCTTTTCGTTGGGCTCTTGGGAATGCGTGTGCTTTGGTAGCCCGTCACGTGCTGCTCTCGACTGGCCCAAGCATTCTCGCAGCTGTCATCTCCATCAATCTGCCACGGCACGAACTGAGCACGCCGGGCCTAGACATAATCAGTCAACATGCCAGGGCATCTATTACGAGGCCCGACACCCATTGCGAGGCTTGTGTGCTTGTGTGCCTGTCCGGCAGCGAGACTGGCCACTCAGCGGCGATCCCGTGCTGATTTCCTACCCCGGCGCCCAGATTGCACCGACGTCATCATCCCAGCTGCCCTCGGCGGTCTACTCGGCTGCTTTTGACTGCTTCTCTCCTGATGCCCTGATGATGAGACACCTCCCTCACAGCAGATCGGTTCCTGCGAGGAGGTGCAGGTTGCCAATGCTTGTACCATTTACTGTCTCTCCAACAACATTACGCCTCCCGGAAGCAAATTGCATGCATACTTTGAAGTGCTGCCAAACCCAATGCTCACAAAATCCGTGTTTACAAAGTTGATGTTTACATGTCACCACATGGCATCCTTCCCGTTGCGCCATCCAGGCCTTAGATGCCGCATGATTCAATGACTGAGCTTCTTGGTGTTACACTTCCGCTGTTGGCGTGCCGTTCAAAGAGGAGTAGGTAGCACTTCAGTAACGCATTGTGGTCAGGAGCTCTGGCTGTCGAGCAACACGAGCCGGTCTCAAGAATTCGGCCCAGGTATATCGGCGCCAGGCCTAGGAGCCCCGGGCCGGGCGTCGCGTGCCACCCCTGTCGGTCCGGATCGAGGGGCTGGATGACGCTGTGGCCTGAGGCAGACGTGCGTGTTTGCGCAGACGCGATCTGGATGCGACACCCATCCAGCGTATCCAGCGTGACTTGCAGCCTAACATTGGGGCAGCAGCACTTGGCTCTCGTGGGCGTCATGGACGTCAGGGCCGTGGCATGCGCTCACAGGCCTCGCACAATTTTACATGCACGCATACAGCGTGATTTGCCCGCTGGGGACTGCCCGTGTGGTCCCCTATTCTATGCATCGCAGAGTTATTTCGTTTCTCAAAGACAAATTCTGAATAATCTCCGCCCGCTGCACATTTTTGGAGCCCAGGCGCCCCAAAAAAGGCAGTGCCTCGCTGTTAGGCGGCTTCCCTGGTGCTGGGTACCCGCTTACGGGGGGTGTTGCATGCGATCGAGAATGTTGTGAGATTGCAATCACGTGGCTGGGCTCCCCGGTCGGTTGGCGGGTCAGACGGGACCCGACGAAAACAAAACAAGCGAAATCCTCCTTTCAAGACTGCTCCCACCACACCAGCTCAGCCCCCATGTTTAGCTGCGCCAAGTTTGTCAACAAAGCTGTTGCATGTCGACCATGAACAACACGGGTATGGCCGTCCGCTCTTTCTGCTGCTCCAACACGCGACTCTCTCTATTTTATTCATCTGCCCGGCGTCTGCAACTGCCGGTCGCTGTGTGTTTTGGACCGAGAGCTAATTTGTTTTGATTCTGTCAGCACACATGATGGAGGCTGCGAGGCCCGCAAAGTCGAGGAGACGCACCCAGTCGAGGGGGTCGACGGCCTCGATTCACAGCGTGACGACCACGCCCAACCTCGACCACTCGTTCGCCGACACATCAGCCGTCTATTCCACGCAATGGCTGTCCCAGGACCGCTCCCAGCCCCGGGAGCTGGCGCCCGCTCCATCGCACATGGCCCATATGGCCGACCACCTCGGCACCGAACACATGATATTGCAAGCCGCCTCGCACCTGCAGCACAGCCGCGACTTCTCAATGGACACGTCCATGGGCTCGGTCGGCCACGCCGTCTCTTTCCACCAACACGCGCCGATGGGCCACGCGCCGCTCCCGACCGACGCCATGAGCGTGAACAACAGCTTCGTGGATGGCGACAGCCAGATGATGGAGCGCGAGGGTGAAGGCGACGGCGACTCGGTTGCGGGCGTGCCGGGCACCGGCAAGGCTGCCCGCTCCAGCGCTAACAACGAGCTCGAGATGCGTCAGCTTTTCTCACAAAACAAGCACAGGACGCTTGTCGACGTGGCCGAGGAGCTGCACGGGAATGAACGCGGCCCTCACTCGGAGAGGACGCGCCAGGTGTTTGCGATGCTTTGGTTGGTGTTTTCCCCGATACGTCGCGTGTCGTTATTGTTTGAGCAAGCTTCTAACCAGCATTGTCCTTCAGGATCAACCAAGTATGCACAAAGGGAAAGGGTTCGGTGCCTCGAGGTCGGGTTTACGCCAACTATGCCTCCCGCTGCGCCACAGAACGCATCACCGTGCTCAATCCAGCTAGTTTCGGAAAGCTTGTTCGCGTCCTGTTCCCCGGCCTGAAGACGAGGAGGCTCGGCGTGCGCGGCGAATCAAAGTATCATTATGTCAACTTTGCCTTGACGGAAGAGCAGCCGGAACTCAAAGACGCCCCGAGCATCCCGCAGGTGCCCCTGGCAGAGAGCGCTAGCCTGACGCAAAACTTCAAGTATGTGTTGGACGTTTTCCCTGGGTTATAGTCGTTGGTGGGTGGTGAAAATTTTGTACTGACGCTCCACACCAGTACCATCCCTGGTCGAGCCTCGTCGGTCCGCGCCGAGCGGGCGCTGTTGCCCTCGCCAGACCACCACAACCTCTATCAGCAGCAGCAGCCGGACTCGCAAGCGCCAAGGCGACGCGAGTATAGGCACAGTGTATACAATATGCCAAAAGTGTCAACACTTGATGAGCTCAACGCGTCAACACAGAAGACGGAGATGCAGCTATCGCTCTCTCCCGACACAGGAGCCTCCTTCAAACAGTCAGACCCCGTTGTCCTTCCCCGAATCGAACCCTTCCTCCCGAGCGGCACGGATCCCGATGCGGCAAAGTCTCTGGCAGCTTTGTACCGGTCACACTGCACATCACTAGTTGAGTGCGTGCGCTACTGCAAGGAGAAGACATTCTTCCACCTGTACACCTCTTTTCAAGGCACCCTCACCATGCCTGTCCAGAAGCTCTTTTCGAATCCTGCTATCGCGCCATGGATTGAAGAGTGCGACTTCGTGCTTTACCAGCGTATGATGCGGATTCTGTCGGGGCTGACGCTTCAGGTCGTCCCCAAACCCGTCCTGGACACCATCAGGAGCATATCAGAGCGCCTGGTCGGTCACATCCGCGAGTCCTTCCAGGGCCAGCCAGCCCACGTGGTGCGCGCCAAGGAGGCACCGGCCGCACTATTTGCAGCGCTCTTGGATAGGGAGCTGAGGGTCAACCTGACGGCACATGCGGCTGCAAATATGCTGTCGAACCCGGCAAACCGCGACCAGATGTACCTCGACTGGATCACCATGGTGCAGACGCGCAAGGTGGCCGAGAGCATACCATCGCGAGCCATGGACGAGGTGGTCAACATAATGCTTACTGAGATCAGGGATCTGCTGGACCCGGCCAACGTTCCGTGGGAGATGGAAGCACTGACCCTGCACGGGGAGGTGACGGCGCGCAGCGGGAGACAGTCGCAACCCATATCGCTGGAGGAGGCGGGTGCATCGAGCGTCCTTGAGCGCTGGGCCAGTTTTCTGCGGTCACTCCCCGATCGGTTCCCCTACGCGGCGCACACGGACATCGTTTGGTGCGTGGATAGGCTCGGATCGGCTGTCATGAGGGACCTGACCATTTCCCAAGGTAAGAGCTTCGGGTCATGGTGGGTCACCAAATGTTGGATCGACGAGATGGTGTCTTTTTTGGCCGAGCAGGGAGGCTTCCTTGCAATGAAGTCAACGCAGAGCACCGCGCCTGTTGTGGACAGTGTCAAGACGCAAGAGCTCAAGCCTGAACTGAGTTTGCAAGGCTCGCACTTCACGGTCGGCGGCGACGAGTTCAACAACTTGGGCTCTCACGTGGCTCACGCTCATTCTCAACCCAACCGAGCGCCCTTCCCGACGAGCAACAGCGTGTCCAACACAGGCCACGATGACGGGGCACCTTCTCCGAGCCACGACGACAGCGGCATTGGAATCCGCACACCGGACGAGGACTTCCCGCCCATGGACAAGTTCGAGTTCCCCACGCCAGACACGAGCCAGATGCTCAGTGCTGCGGCCGACCTCCCTTCCGTCATCTCGTCGTTATGAGGCGTACCTCTTTGATACCCTGGGCCTCGACGCACCCTCAACGCAATTGCTCCTTCTCTTCTACCTTGGCCGGCTCGGCCGGCCACTTTCACCCTTAATCCTTGTAACCTCGTGGAGGTTTGCGATATCCCTTCGCGACGTCACGATGAGACGACGAATGAGACGAAGTTTTTTTTTTTTTCATGATGGTTCACATCTTGTGCGAGTTAAAAGCAGCAAAAACACCACTGCTGGCAGCCAAAACATGCGATGGATATCTTGCGATGTCTTTTGGTCGTTGGCTGATTCACACGGTTTGGCGTATCGCGCGTTTTTCACAGCGTCTATTCTCTGTCCGGGTCCCAAGGCTGTTCTCTCTGTTGCCTTGATATCTTATTGTTTGCTTATGGCATCTTATCGCTGTTATTACTCTGTTTGGTCACTGGGGAGTCGGTACGGGTCCCATGGTCTTTTCTACCGCGTTGGCCATGGCTGGCAGTGTCGGTGGCGGGCTTGTTTTCGGGTTCGGTCTGGAGGTTGGTTCACGGGGTGTCCTGGTCGCCGTTGTGCCCTGGCTCCATGGTCTGGGTGCTTTTTGGTTATCGTTATTGTTGTTTTGACGATACACGTTATTACTCCCGAGAGTCTGTCTAATCACTGCTGCAAAAGCAACAACCTACTGTCGATTTGCTCGCTCCACGTCTTTTTCTGTGCGACGTTTCTGTGCTGCTGGGCTGCTAGCTGTAATCCGGCACAAGAACGGCACTTGAGATGGAGTGACGGCAATTTCCGTGCTTTTCTCTTTGGTGGGAGCTGGACGTGGGGCACCGCAATCACGCTTGTGTCTTCCCCAAGAGACCCCTTTTTTAATCCCCGTCAGCGCTGGCAGGGGGAACCCGGCCTTTGTTTGCCGTCCGTGCTTGACATGTGAAGCCATGCCGCGTTTGGCAAGGCGCAGGAAAGCCAAATGCGAGGTGTAGTGTAGTTCGAACCCAGTGGCTGAGGTTGTCGACGCATAGCCAGCCTCAATTTCTCGTCTTGGCCAAGCACCGCCTTTGGGTCGCTCAGGCCACTACCCGCCCGCCCGCCATCCATTATTGGTGCTACCGAGACGCGACCACGCCGACTTTTTGCTGGCCTTTTACTAGCAGCTCTTTGTTTCCAACACATACTTTTTTTTTTGTTTA